CCCTATTTAATGAGACGAACGAGGCAGCATGGCGTTCCGTGATTGAGGTCAGAACGCCTGCTGCCTTCTGAACCTGGATCCCACGTTGCTGCCAACTAGAAATAGCTGCCTAGCAAAATGTATTAAAATCTGTGCTGAAAATGTTTCTGTCTTCAGCCTCAGAAAAAAAGACATTTTTTATTTCCAGATAAAATTTGCCTGCTTGTCACCCTCAGAACTTGCATCCCAGAAAAAAGCAGTAAATACCATGACGCAAATCTGTTTCCCTTTTCTGTCCTCGGTCTAAAAAAAGACACTGATGGGAATTTATCAAAACTGGAGCAGACAGAAACTGGAGCATTTGCCCATGGCAACCAATCAAATGAAAATCAAAGAGAGAAGCTGATTGGTTGACAGGCACAGCTGCTCCAGATTTGGTCTGCTCCAGTTTTGATAAATTTCCCTCACTTTTTTTGTTTCTTGGTGCATTCTGCCTGATCTCTCCCTCTGAAACTGCATCCTACCAAAAAATGAGTACAGGCTGTGCAGCAAATGTGTCCAGTTTTTCTGCTTTCTGTCTATGAAAAAAGACATTAAATGTTTATTTCTAGATGAAATCTGCCTTCTCTCTTCCTCAGAAATAGCTGCCTAGCAAAATGGATGAAAGTCTGTGCTGAAAATGTTTCTGTCTTCAGTCTCAGAAAAAAAAGATTTTTTTTTAATTTCAAGATGAAATTTTCCCCTCAGAAATTGCATTCTACAATTTAATATTTACTACCCAGATCCATCATCTCCATGTGGTCGGAGACCTCACCCCTATTATTCATTATATTCCAAAAAAACACAAAAAGTAGTTTGAATTGGTTTGGAATTGTGTGGGAAGTGTTGAGTGTAATGTCAAATGGACACATTGATATTTAACATTATGTGATATTAGGGACACTATGTTGGGACACATATGGATTGTTACAATTTGATATAATTAACTAATTGAGGGGGTCAGTTAGGATATCCATAGGGGCACAACTAATTAGTGGCAACCTTGTATTGGGGTAGATATTGTTAGGTATATAATATATACTACACATAATGGGGGATTATTTGGACACATGAAATATGGGTTTTAGGTTTGGAAACCAGTGGCTAATAAGCTTATTTACTCTCTGATAATATAAAACAAATAGAATAATAGAAACGGCTGTATTATAGATTGTCAAGACTCCCTGTGGTCCCGCCGCACTGACTCTGAGAGAAGGTGGATTATTATTGTCGTGTCCTGGAAATGGATTCGCATTGACCCCCGGGCTCTGAGTGAGTAGAGGGGAAGATAGACTCTATAGGTATGCTATATTGAATAAACGATGAGTAAAAATTTAAGCATGGAGCCGGGAAGTCGGCTCCATGCTCTCTCATCACAAGTGACAAGAGAGCATGGAGCCGTTTCCTGGCCAATCAGGAAACCGGGCAGCGTGTAATGATGCGCTGCCCGGCTTCCTGATACAGGAAGTACTCGTGCTAGGTATCGGAGCATTTGGGCGAGTACGAGTACTCACCCAAATACTTGGTATCGGCACCGATACCGATACTAGTATCGGTGCATCCCTAATATTTATAGATTCTTGCTTCAATTTCCCTGAAGAAGCGCATCAGCGAAACACGTTGGAAACAGATGAATTATTACTGGTAATGTATGCATTTGGAAAGAATACAATAAGAAAAGATGGATAATACATATGGAAAATTGTAATCATGTATTTTATGTACAAATGGGACAATTAGGCAAGAACTGAGGAAATAATTATGCATATATGGTTTTAATGTAATCTATGGATTTTTTTATGAAATGTGTTAATAAATTTGTATGAATTTGAAGTGAAAGTCTGACGCCTCTTAAAACCCCATCACTACTTTTTGTGTTTTTTTTGGAATATAAGAAATTGCAAACTAGAAAAGCAAATCTCTTTATTTTTCTGTCCTCAGTCTAAAAAAAAAAAACGTTTTTTATTGCTTGGTGCAATCTGCCTGCCCTCTCCATCTTAAACTGCATATAAAACGCAGTACAGACCATGCAGCAAATCTGTTTAATTTTTCTGTCTTAAGTCTAAAAAAACAACACATTTTTAAATTTTTGGTGCTATTTGCCTGCTCTCTCCCGCTGAAATTGCATCCTACCAAAAAAAGGAATGCAGACTGTAAAGCAAATGTGTACAATTCCTATCTTCCTATCAAAAAAATATATTAAAAGCTGTAGTTCAGATACTCTCATTTTTTATTTCTAGATAAAATCTGCCTGATTTCCTGCTACAAACTTTTTCTGTCTTAAAAAAAGCAGGCACCACATTTTTATTTCCAGATAAAATCTGCCTTCTCCCTTTCTCAGAAATAGATGCCTATCAAAAAGGATATAAAGCTGTGATACAAATCTGGTCAATTTTTCTGTCTTCCGTCTCCGAGAAAAAGACATTCATTTTTTATTTTCTGGTACAATCTGCCTGCTCTTTCGGTTTAAAATGGCATCATATCAAAGATGAAGTACAGACTTTCTAGCAAATCTGTACAATTCCTATCTTCCTATCAAAAAAAGATGAAGTCTCTGAAAAAAATAATTGCTCTCTCCCTCAGACATTGCATCCTAGCCAAAAAATGTACATACATTAAGCGTTATCATGTGTTGAGTTAGGCCACCACATTCACTACAGTAAACTGTCATAAGCACCACAGTGGATCAAATATTGTACTCGCTGCATTTTTGGTAACACAGCACACCAAAATACATGATAATGCATTATTTAGCATTGCAGTGCACTTCAATACAGTTGTATTGGGGGACCATTAAAAAGAATGGAACTGCAATGCACCAACATGCAAAACATGCTTTACCACAATGGCCTGGTATGAAGAAGCCGTTACTCATTTGCTGAACCAATCTGTGTTTTCAGTTTCTGTCATTATTGTGTTTTCTTGATCAGAATAGAGGTTTTTCATAAGAAAAATGAGATGTCCATGTGCACAGCCAGGCCTCCTACCACTGTACCACTACAGAAGAGGTCAGCAACCTAAGGCAGACATGCCATGGTGGGCACACAATGCCATTTTTCAGGGGCGCCAAGATCAATAGTCACATGTCTATAAAATGTTTTTAGATTTCTCATTAAAACATGATATTTTCCAGTCGGTGGTGTACTGTTTGCGTTATGCATTTGGATCCACATACTGTGGATGTGCAAACAGATTTCTTCACACATGTAAACAGTGTTAAGTCCATCTTGAAGATGACAGACAACAGATAATTCAGAAGCATGTGTGCAACTGAAGTTAACGTCGTAAAGGCCAGACATAGCACAATAAAACTAAATCCACTGGATGCTTAGAGCCCATTCACACCAGAAGAAAAGAAAATGTGACTTGTTTCGAATGGGCACCATTCACACCACCACATTGCGGTGGTGAGCGCTGTAAAGATATGGCATGCAGTACTTTTTTTTTAATGTAGCATGGTGTAACACGGCACAACCACATTGTACCACACTGTGCCAGCGGAACTCCATCCTCCTATTCCTTACATCCAAGGAAGGTGCCATCTTAGTCGCTATTTGATTGCAGTTGCCATTGTGCTGCAAAAAATGGTCACACACCAGCATAGGTGTGTTTAGCGCAGATTGTTGGTGTAAACTGGCCCTATATGCAGGGGTATGTCCACCACAAGGCAAACAAGGTGTTTCCTTTGGGCAGCATTTTCCAGGGGGGGCGGCAAAAATCAGTGAGGCGAGCTGGACCGCACAGAATCAAGCAGCCTCAGGCAAATTAGGCAGCCGCTTGTTGGGCCTCGCAACCACCTAATTTCCCTGTGAGAGCTGCTCGGTGGAGCTGGGGCCCAGTGAGATGCGGCACAGCCGGCAGAGGAAAAGCTACGCGTGGCTCAGGGTTGTCCATATCCCACGATCTGGGATATGTCCCAGAAGCAGGCTGGGGAGCTGCAGGTAAGAGGAGCACACAGGTGGGCTGTGCAGGATCTATAGTGGGCTATTATGCAGTATCTATGCTGGGCTGTGCAGGGTCTGTGGTGGGCTGTGCAGGCTTAGACCCTGTATAGCCCACCAGAGATCCTTCACAGCCCACCTGAGAGCCAAGCTTCCCTGTTATGCGAATAGAGCAACCTGTCAGAAGCTGGATATAGCTGTATCTTGCGGCTGACAGGTTTCGCAAAATGTCTTAAATGGGAAGGGCTGGGACAACTTTAGATTAGGGGTGTGCCTGAGTTTAGTCTTGCCTAGGGCAGTACTAAACCTAAATACACCACTGCCTATATGTGGAATAGGTTGCTTGTATTAGAGGAGAAGGTGAACTACCTCGCCAGTCTGTGGGCTGCATTTAAATCGCACACTCTAATTAAACTACAATAAAACCGAGTTTTATGTATATAAGTGGTCAGACACGGACTGAGTATACAAAAACCAGAAATGGCGGGGAGTATTTCAAGCAGCAGAGAAGAGAGCCCGCCTCCACTCCCGAACAGTTACCCCGGTTATAGTCGTACTTGTAAATGCTCACATGCACAGCGCGGCGTGCACGTAACTCAACTCAGCTTCCTCCCTATCAGATTAGGCGCGCCCCCTTGTCACATGAACGCTGACCAGCGGCGCCTCTTAGTCACCTGACCGGTCCCGTGACACAAACATACAGGAACATTGCCGCTGCACAGCAGAGTAGTGATGGCCTTGGACAGGGACTAACAGCTGAACAGGCATGGACACCTGGGTTCTTTATTTATAGATTGCACGGGCTGATTAATGGCAGCCAGAATAAGTACACTTTGCAGTCTGTAGTAGATATGTACAGTTGCAGTAAAACAAATACATTGCGTTAGCATGACTGCGAATTGATATAAACAGGACGTGACAGGCTGTCATTTCCCTTTAATACAACAGTCTTGCAGCGCAGTGCACGTAGTGCTAGTCGCTGCGATGATTTCCCTTGCATAAGCTTTTTCATCTTTCTTCTATACAGCTTCTGTGCACGGACACCTTCCTGGTTTGAGGATGCTTGAATCGGTGGTTGCTGATCTGCTGAATAAATTCCTGGGCAATTATGTGGAGAATCTGGACAGGTCTCAGCTGAAGCTGGGGATCTGGGGGGGTAAGATGACACATGTAATACATATCTGTTGTCCTTGTTTAATAGAAAAGCCCTTGTGCCTTAGGCATGCCGCCTTGTATGACAGTGTGCAGAGCCTGCTGATAGACCGGACATACAATTCATTACAAATTCTAACATCGAAGAGGTATTACAGTACAATATTGGGGTCAGGTTGTGTCACCATAGAGGATGAAGAAGGAACAAGATCATAAGGCCTAGTGTAAATATGATTCTCCTATTCTTTACCAGATGCATACTTGCATAACATTCTGAGGGGAATTGATCAAAACTGGAGCAGACAAAATTTGGAGCAGCTGTGCATGGCAACCAATTAGCATCCACCTTTCATTTTCAGAGCTTGACTGAACAAACTGATGTGAGAAGCTGATTGGTTGCCCTGTGCAACTGCTCCAGTTTTTGTCTGCTCTCGTTCTGATAAATTCCCTTTTGAGTTTTTCATATTATAGTACTGCTTCCTGCTGTTTGAGCACTCAGTGGTCACTAGCAAAAGTTTGCCCGTTCCAGAAGAGGCAAGGTTGCGGATCGGGGGTAGTGGAAGGTGCGTTGCTGATAGTAGGAGCTGGCCTGCATGTGGGATTGTGAGGGCATTGGGTTCTGAAACAATGGTGGTTGGTGGGCACACAGCTGTGTTGGTGGTGTGAGGGGGGGGCATGCAGGTGTGCTGATAATGGGGTGGTTGTTGCTGGCTGAGTGGTTTAGCAGGGGTGAATAGATGGGGATGTGTTCAGGAACAGCAGTGCTGGCAGAGTGGTAAAAGCATGGTGGGGGGCTGGCTTATTGGTGAGAACAGGGGGAGGGTTGACAGTTGTGAGTGCTGACAAAGCGATAAGAGGGCAGGGCTGGTAGAGTGGTGAGAAATTGAAGAAGTACTGAGAGTAGGTGGGGTTTGTCTACCAAACTCCTGCCACCACTTCTTATTGAGCCTGTATTTAGAAAAGTCACCCATCCCCACCCCCTCACCACTTTGTCAGCACAAGCCCTCTTCAACTCCATTCTGTTTGAGACCACAGCCTGTTTACAAGATAGTAGATGCATTTGAAGTTGGCATGTCATTGAATAAATGCCACTCAGTAAGACAGCAAGATCCTGAGCATGCGCAGTAGTTATGGGTCTTTACTGCCCTTTCTGTGCCTGGCTAGAATCTTGCTGCCATATTGTGATGTCGGCTATATGGCGCCAGGATCCCACACTATTTTCGGTAGCGGCAGTACACACCAGACATGCATGCACGGAATCTCACGGCCATATTTCTGACATAACAATATGGTGATGGGATCAGTAAAGACAGATAACTACTGCAAATGCATGACATTTTGTCACCATATTGATGGCAGCCTTTCAGGAGCACAGGAGTGAACGCCCCTCTCGCACGTCCAATATGAAAATAAAAATGCACATGCATGGGAAGATAGCTGTTTTTTCTGCACTTGCATAGAGGTCCTTTTGAGAGTATGATAGTAAAAGTCCCTCTCACATGCACAAAGTTGACACCAGAGAATGCATTTGTGGGAAATAGATTTTTTTGTATGCTGTGCATACATGGGGAAATTGCTTGCATCTAGAGGTGAAATGTGTGGGACACAGCTCCCGCAACATCAGCGTCATTGTGCACGTTAAAGCTCATCTTAATTACGCATTATCACGTACCATATTGATAGATGGAACCCTAATGCCATCTTGGAGAAGTCCAGGGGGAAATGTAATCTTTAAAAATTGCCCTTCCCATGTAAATCTTTTAATCCAAATTAGACAAAGAGTTTATTATATCTAGCCAACTAAGCTAATGAATGTCGTATATTGTTTTATTCTGAACGTTTGATCTCATGTTCAAACTAAGGGTGAAAAAAAAATGCCATTTTACTTCCTGTACACTTCTTTTCATATAATTATAGAATACTGCTGAAACTTTCTTTGTATAAGCAATATAAGATCATTCTTACTTGGTTTTCCATCCCTGAAACCTGTAGGCACATACAGTAGCTTTTGATTCCTAAGGCCTTGTTCACACCAAATGCAGACCAGATCCGGTCAGGTTTCTGCACACGCACGATGCGTTTTCTGACGCGTTTTTTTTTCCAGGAAGCTAACAAGGTTATGAGGTCATTTCCTTTTACCTCTGACCTTTCATTAGCTGTTCCGATTATTTCCTGCTTCCTCTGACCTTGTTTCACATGTAAAATTGTTGCAACATGGATCCATGGGATGCAGGCATGCTCCTGGTGATGGTTATTATACTGCTACGCCAAAGTGCTGTAAGGAGACGTCGCTTTTGGGTGCACCCACTGATGAGAGAAAGAGATCCAAAGGGCCAGTTTGGGACTCTCTATGCAGACCTTCGTGCACACCCAGACAAGTTTTTTTCATACACCCGCATGTCGATATCTAGGTAGGAATGTTTGCATGTGATGTGTCCCTTGTGATGGAATCTATCTCACACTCTATCACTCTCTCTTTCACTCTTTCTCTATTTCTCTAACAATCTCTCTCTCTCTATCACTCTCTCTTTCTCTATAACTCTCTCTCTATTTCTCTAGCAATCTCTCTCTCTATCACTCTCTCTCTCTTTCTCTATAACTCTCTCTCTCTTTCTCTATATCTCTCTCTGTCTGCTGTCATATAGCTCAGGGCACTATTGAACCATACTTATGAATCTCTCTGGGTCACAAAACTGGTCCACCATTTTTCCTTTGCTCTCCAGCTCACAAGGTCACCTTTTCCAAAGACAGGAAGTGACAAAGGAAGATTAGGTCATGACAGATGACCATAGAGGTTTTTTTTCTTTATGGTTATTTTTTCCCATTGGGTTGCATTGCGTTGCGTTTTTGATGCGTTTTTAATGCGTTCCAGAGCAGGTAAAATAGGGCTTGCCGCAGTTTTTTCACCTGCTCTGGATCTGGTCTGGATCCGCACGCTGCGATGTGAACTGGAGGTCAAAATACCATAGGAATACATTGGACGCAGTTTTGATCCGGTCTGCACCTGCTCTGGTCTGGATCTGCTCCGCGCTTGGTGCGAACAAGCCCTAAACAACACTCTTCTGTTATCAGAATATTATGACAATGTTTGATGTTTATTTGGCTGTGTTTCTACTGATGATTGTGAAATACTTTGTGCCTAATCCCTGTGCACAAAGTATTTCCCAATCATGAAGGGGACCCTGTGCGGCCCTGAAAGCACTTGTACTGGAATTACAGTACTCTATTAATAAATGGACTTTTGTTGATTTCACTTAAATGGCGTGCTGGTGACATCCTTTTGCAAACTTGTAAGCTGCAAATGTGACGTTTGCCACTAGAGCAAGAAGTAAAGTAAATCTTCCTTTGGGAACATTTCAAGTATCTAAGCTCTAAATGTTAGAAGTAGAATTATTTTCTAGTAGAAGTGTTGTCCAAACTTAAATTTTTGATTTTGGAAAAAAAAATGGTAAAGGTTGGAGCTGTGGTCATGTTTTGTGTCTCCTTTGGTGAGATGCTCCTTCCTTTTCTGCCCCCAGTTAGTACCAGTCACTGTTTAGGAAGGGAAGGGAAATCATCTTCTCGGCTAGATCAATGTTTTTCTTGTCGGAGCCTCTCTATTCTTTTTGCAATCTACACTCTGCTGTCTTTGTTTCTGTTGGGGACATCTTTACTCACTCTCTTTCTCAGGGGGCACCACTACCATTAAGACGTAGTTAGGGATCATCTACGAAACATGGATGCAGATAGCACATACAACTAAACACGCGTTCTAACCTACTCCCATTCAAAATATGAAAAAATGTTTTGGTTGGACTTCTGCTCATATTTTACATTGGGGTTTGTTTATTAAAAACAGTGTATACAGCTTCACTCTTTACTGCACCTGTCTGGTAAGTAAAGGATTTTGTAAGTTTAATTCTTTCTCTTTATAAAAGAATGAGGTTAACACTGACTAAGGCAATATCCTGCTGTATTTTACTGGATTAGCAATGTTGGTATTGGGTTAAGCTAAAGTCTGTGACTCTTCAAAGCGACAACAGGTGCTTTAAGCCGTGGTAGTGGCACTGCAATAAAGTTTAAAGGAGAACTATGAGGTGAGGGAATTACACTCACTCTCATAGTTAGAGCTGACGTGTGACTCTGAATCTGTCACACATCGTCTCTCTTGATCGGGAAATGAGCGAAAACATCTCGCCGATCTGCTCACTTTATCTCCCTGCAGAGAGTGGTGACTGTCAGTCACATCTCCCCGCAGGGATTTCCCCCACCCTCTCCGATCCTCCAGCACTGACTGGAGGAACAGACGGGGAGGGGCTGGGTATAGCTGCCTCTAGAGAGGCGGAACCAGCTGTCAATCAGCCAGCTGGGTGAATCTCAACATTGTCAGGATCTGTCCCGGATGCAGTGCTCTCAGCATATAAAGGGCAATAGCCCGCTGTATGCTGAGTTTTGGGTCACAGGAGGACGTAGTAGATGTCCTCCCGTGACCCAAAAGAGAACTATGGCAAAAAAAATGTCACCCCATAGTTCTCCTTTAATCACTTCCTGTTCCCCTATACCTCAGAGTGTGCACTGCAGATGGGTTCCTCCAGTGCAATTGCATCTCTCCCTTCCCCCAGAAAGACTGGCTGACAATGTAATATCTCCCTGTGTCTTTTACATTTAGTGTTTCCAGAGCAAATTTCCTCCCAGTGTTGCTATATCACATGCTACCAGCTAGAGCAGGGGTGCCCACAATTTTTTGTGTTAAGATCTACTTTTCAAATGACGAGCTACATGAGATCTACCAACGAACAAAACCTCCCTCGCTTTCTCTCTCCTGGCTGTCTCTCCTTGCTCATCCTCCTGGCTGTCTCTCCTTGCTCATCCTCCTGGCTGTCTCTCCTTGCTCATCCTCCTGGCTGTCTCTCCTTGCTCTCTCCCCTGTCTGTCTCTCCCCGCTCTCTCTCCTGGCTCACCTTGCTGTATTTTGCAACAGGCTGTGTAAACTAATATTCTTTGATGTCATACATAGCAGCACTT